TTCTTTTCTTTTCTTTTCTTTTCTTTTCTTTTCTTTTCTTTTCTTTTCTTTTTTCTTTTCCTTTTCTCTCCTCCCGATTGTCCTAGAATCCATAATATTTATGACCATCAGATTTAGTTTTCTTTATATCAGGACTACCAAAAGGTGAAATGGAAATGTGATACATACACGTGTCAGTGTATGATTACTGGCACTTCAGAGTGGGAGAGATGAACTGAGTTTACCTGAAATAGTGGCAGATTGTAAGAGTGCCTGTTAGAGAGCTGATCACAGGGGTCAAGAATGATGGTGATCACATGAAGGGGTTCCGTGAGAGGATGTGGAAATGTTTGCTGAATGCAACAATAAGAAAAATCCTTACTGCCTTCTGACAAAGGCTGGAGGGGTAATGAAACATTGCACTGTGGTAGAAAGCTGATCTACATTGAGTGTGTGTCCTTCCATGTTTGTAGTTGGACATCTTCAAAAATACATGGGGTAAGAGCCATACCCTCAGTTTAACATCATCCCCTCTGTATTACTATATTTAGAACTGTGTGACCTCTCTGTTATGGTCAGTCAGTGAGGAGGGGATTCTTCACACCTCACATTAGCTATCTAAAAATTCAGTGACTAGCTAAGGTAGTTGTCTGCACTCCCTTTATAGGCAAGAGAATGAGGTGAGCTTCTTCAGAAACCTGAAAGTACTATATTGCAATGGGATGTATCATGCTCTGGGTGTGCTTTTGCTTTCCCTTAGCTACCTCAGACTAGCTATAATTGCTTTTCAGGAGGTGCTTGAGTTTGAGATCATTAAGGCTAAAGGGCAGATGCACTCAACCCAAGCCAGTGGAGAGGAAATGGGCCTTGTTAGTGCTTTTTATTTCTAGACAATTTTATTTCGTGATTCACTGTAAAAATTCTGTTTGCTCCTGATGTTTGTGGAATGAGTCAAATATGAATACTTTTCTTATGAAGGGTATGCTAATCTCAAACTACATCACTAAACATAAAACTCTAATCCAGATGTACCTGATATCCTCCTTGTCTTTCTTTTTCACCTCTCCGGTGAGAACCCATGATTTCTTCTGTTGTAATCTCCTTCAGGAGTGAGATTTCACTTAGAAACTTGTGACTCTGGAGAATGGAATTCTGTGCTCCTAGGCAGTCAGTTCTGCAACTGAAGTGCTGAGGGAAGTACTTTTTGGTTTGTGTATCTGTGATATTTTATAGTCCTCATTATCAAGGTATCCAAATGTCTCGCAGTCTTCCCTGCATTTAAATTGTTGCAAACCCTTTCACACATCACTCAGGATCTATGAGGGAAGTGGGGTAATAAGACCATACAGGATTAGAAACAAGCTTGCATGAGACACTGCAGATGTCAGGGGTCAGTAAAAAGGGGAGAAGAAACTGGCAGGTTGTACAGCTCTTGTGAAAATTTGAGAATCCTAGCCCGCTCCTATGTTGCATTTGCTTTACCTGGATTTCTTCAAGGGATAAAACAGGCCAAAACAATTTGCCTAAAGGGACCTAAATAATATTGTAATTGATTAAAAATGAAACATAACCTGAGCTAGTTGTCATTGGCATCAATCTTTCGGAGGGATGCAGCTCTGTATTATCCAGATTTTATCCACAACACTAAAAAAATGTATTCAGAATTCTTCCTTCTTTACACTTATGATCACATTATTTTAAGAGGCTTTGTGTTTTAAAGGGTATATTAACCAAAAAATGGAGACACGGTGATAAAACCCACCCCAGAGCACATCTGAAGGGTTTGAGTTTAATAAGTACTTCTTACATTTTTCATCAGCTGATTGAACTTAGCTCCTGTTTCTTTGAACCTCTTGTTCTCACTGAAAGCCGTGCTGACATGCTTTAAAAGCATACAAATAGCTTCTGCTGTGACTAGCTACACAATGTATTATGTTCTGTAATACGCATTTCAGTTCATGAACGCCTGAGCTAACAGAGGTAATGAAGAGCTAAATCTCTGGTATTACTACTTGTTTTTCCATTTGTTTCTTCATGATGCACAAAATCTGATTCTTTGGCACTTCACCAAAAGCATCTGAGGCTGGAGGTAGGTATAACTAAAATTGAAGTGTATTACATGCCTAAAGAGATGCTCAGAGTTGGGCTGCAGCCAACCTCATGCATTAAGGTGTTTGAACTTTGTTATTTTATTAAACAAATGGATTGCAGATTTATCACTTATTTAGCATTGATAGCGTATGACCACCTGTTCTGTTGCAGCACCTCACTATGATGGGAGACACACAAGTGCGTGACCCCAGGTATTTACAGGCTAGGCAGGATAAAACCAGTAGGTTTTCTGTAAAATTTTCCAATTTAAAGGGGAGGACATGATTGGTGCTGCAACTGAGGCAGTGAAGAAGCACGGCTGAGATGCATTGGCAAGGATGATGGGATGCAAAAATGGAAGAACACACATGACACACAGAAGGGGTGTTGGACAGAAGTAATTTCTATAGGTAGCACTATTTCCTGAAGAGATCAGAGGGCATGAAATCCATCTGGAGAGATTGGTGTAATATGGTCTGGAGCCTAATGGACATAGGAGAGCACTTCAAAGAGAGCTCCACGTGGGATTAGGTTACCCCGGAGGGAGGGTGCCTTAGCTGAGGAGGGCAAACAGGGAGGTATATGGCCATGGGGTTGAAGAGGTGGGGAAGATCAGCTAGTGGAGTCGACGAGTGGGGAAAAGAGCAGTTGTTACCTGCACACAAGAAGTGGGAAGACAATGGAGAGGAGCACGGGCCAGACCGGGGGAGCGCGAGCCCGCAGCGCGGAGCCAGGGCCGGGACGAGCAGGCGGCGGTGCGAGCGGTGGCAGGGGAGGAGGAGCGAGCGGAGCGCGGCCCGGGCTGCGCTCCCTTCCCCGGCAGATGCTCCCGGCGGCCCCGGCGGCGGCGGCCCCGGCCGTCCCCGCCACCCCCGGGAACTTTCAGCCCCCCCTACCGCTGGCGGGTCCCCGGGCAGCCCCGGTGCCAGCGATGCCGTGGGTCCCTCCCGGCACCGGCACCGGCACCGGCACCGGCACCGGCACCGGCACCGGCACCGGCACCGGCACCTGCTCTGCCTCTTCCCTGCGGGCTCGGCTGCGCCTCTGCCCGCTTTGCAGGGCAAGCGCTGCCTCGGCCTGCCCGAGGCGAGGAGCAAAGCGAGATCCCCGAAAAACGCGCCCCTCTCGGAGCTTCGTGTGCTGACCCGCCACAGTCGCCCCGTGCGGGCGGGATCGGAGGTGGCGGGGCCCGGGCAGGACCGGGGATAGGGGAGGGAGTCCACCCGGGATAGCAGCCCCGGCCCCGCAGGGCTGGCCCGTGAGTGGAAAGTTTCCCCGGAGTGACCTCTCATAGTACGCGCTCGCTAGGAAATCTCATTCAAGTATTTTTGTCAATGGGGTGGGGGGGGCATCCTGCTCCCCGGCCCCCGGCCCGGCTGACGTCACTGCAGAGGCGATAAATATCTGTTGATATAATTGGACGTGAGATTTGGGGTTGCGATAGCGAAACTCTGCCCATCGCCGCTCCGACGGGCCCCCATGATTTATTCAGCAGTAGATCGGGGCACGCAATCGGGCTGTCAGGAGAGCGTCAGCTTATTAGGCAAGTTCTGCGTGATTCCAGGAGAGGGTCTAAGCTATAAAAATCCCGCACCCCGGCTCTGATTAGGACCAAATCTGATTCCAAGTTCGCCAAGAGCCGACTCCGAGGGAGAGCGAGAGGAAGGGACGCCGGGCACCGCAAAGTCCCGCCACCCGCCCTGCCCTGCCGCCGCCGCCACCGCCGCCCCAGGTAGGTGCGGGGCCGCGTCCGGCGCAGAGAGGGATGCGCTGCCCTGCGCTGAGCGGGGCTGAGCGCCGAGTCCCGCAGAACGCGGGTAGCTGCCCCGGCCGGCCAGGGTACGGGGAGACGCGGGGGAGAGAACGCTAGCACCCCGCAGCTCTTGGGGAGATCTGCCCCTCCGCAGACGCTCCACGCTCCCCTTCGCCCGGGGTGGGTGAAGGGGCGCGGGTCCGCGCACATGCGGGGACTCTCTGCAGGGGTTCAGCCCAGCTCGGTCCGCGGGATCTGTTCGGAGCTGCCCCGCGGGGCTGTTCCGCGAGAAGCGGCCGCCTCGACGGCGCGGGTGGACGGGCCGGGATGAGCGCGGTCGGGCGGTGGTGTGCGGTGTGCTGTGTGCGGTGTGCGGGGCGCGGAGGGGCGCGGAGCGGCGCGTTTCAGCACCGGGACAGCGGCGGCGGGGGCGTCCCGTCGCTGCCCTCCCCGCCGCCGCGGCTCGGCTGTGTAACCCAACCCCCGTTCCTCGTCTGCCTCCGCAGATTTGGGCCCCGACCATGAAGATCCCGCTGCTGGTCTCCACGGGAATTCTGCTGGTCGCCCTCCTGCCCTGCCAGGAGTGCAGAGCTCTCAGCAAGAGTCCGGCAGCCGCCCCCGGGGCTCTGCACCAGCCAGATTTCTTCCAGCAACAGCAGCAGCAGCAACTGCAGCAGCCACAAACTCTGCCCGTTCTGCTCCGCATGGGAGAAGAGTATTTCCTGCGCCTGGGCAACCTCCACAAGAGACCCCTTGGCTCTTTCTCCGCCTCCTCCAGCAGCACCAGCCACCTACAGCCCGAAGCCTCCGCCAGCAACTTTTTCCGAGCGGCGGTGCAACAGCTGCAGCAGCTACCCAAGCGCTCGCCGGGGAGCCCCGAGAACGGCGAAGCCGAGGGTGAGGCCGTGGAGAGGGAAAAGCGATCCGAGGAGCCCCCTATTTCTCTGGATCTGACTTTCCACCTCCTGCGAGAAGTCTTGGAGATGGCCCGAGCCGAGCAGTTAGCGCAGCAAGCTCACAGCAACAGGAAACTGATGGAGATAATCGGGAAGTGAAACGGCCCCGCCCCACCTTGCCAAAGAGATTCCGCAGTTAGCACAAGAATAATTACACCGTCCGATGTACCATAGTGCTGCTCTGATGTCATCTCTTTATTTTTATATAGCTTTAAACCTAGAAGGGTGTGCTCCGAACAGCCTCTGTCCCTTGACTAGCATGCACAACCGTGTACCAAGTGCAGAAACTCGAGTGTCGTTTGTAACCTCCCCTACCTTTATTTATTTCTCCATTTCCCAGTTATTCTAGTGCCATCGCTACGTAGGGATGTGTGAGCATTGGAAGAAATGGTGCCAAGAAGACAGAAAACTTTTCTGCTAGGGGCAGGGAGGTGGGAGGGGGAATCTCTGTAAGCTACTTTCAATTCACTTTTTTTCCTGTAAACATTTTCACAATAAAACATCTTTTCAGCGCTCGGTCGATTTGGTTGTGTAAGAGAATGTTTAATATTTATATTTTTAATAAAAATTGCAAAGTAAAGACGACTTGATACTTTCTTGCCTAGACGCCTGAGGGTTGCTCCGCCTCCCTCAGCGCTTACCGGGGCGTAGGGGGGCACCCGCGTCCGCGGGCACCCGGGGAGCCCTATATAGCCCCCGGGGATGTTTTTCCCCTCCCCGCCGCGGGAAGCCCCCGTTCCCGCCGGCTCTCCCAGAGGTGCACCCCGACGAGGGCTGCCCCACGCCGCCGCCCTCGGCACAGGCTACTCCCGGGAACGGGGTGTCGAGGGCAAATCGATGCCTCCCAGCACTGCCGAATCCCATCTCGGCAGCCCCCCGAGGGGGCTCACTGGCTCCTACCGCTGTGGTCGGGGCCGGGCAGCCTCCTCCCGCCAGAGCGCAGCGATGGGAAAGCGGTGTGGCGCTTCCCGCATCTCTTTTGCGTTTTCATTCTGGCTCTGCATATCCTCCCCGCACCCTAAAAGGGCAGGTTCCTCCGCGCTTCGGCTTCCCCCGTCCCGGCGGCGGTGCCCAAGAGGGCTCTGAGTATGTGTGGAGAAACTGCCAGAGGATCTAGGGGAAATCTCCAGGACGACTGGGAGAATTTAGGAAATCCCTCATCCCGAACCAAATCCCAGAGAAAAGCTGCTCCAGCAGCCGGAGGCGATGCGGTGGCGGTGCTGGGCGGTGCTCTCTCTGGGCTGTGAGAGTTCCAAATCTTTACGTGGAGCTCGCCTGTGCAGCCCGACAAACTCTCGCAGGAGCCTTCTCCAGGGAAAACAGATACTAACGAGGGCTGATGTCACTCAGGCCAATAGCGGCGGATGTCCAGGACGGGGGCTAACCCCACACAGCCCGCTAAGTGGTCTGCACTTCCAGTTCACCAGTCCTGCTGGGACACAGCGCAGCCCTACGGCCTCACATAGTCACCTGACAAAACTGTATTGACGGCCTGGCTCAGGGATCTGGGAAAGATCCACATGTAACCCTAGTGCAGAGCTTGACACCTGGTCCCCTGTGGCACCAAGTAATCCCGGCAGCCTTCAAATCTCTCTTAATCACTACTGAGTGTTGACACTCTGCTCCCAGTGACAAAAATTGCAGAATGCCACCTTAAATAGAGCTTCTAGAACTTCTTTTAAGACACAAATTTGATTTCATTAGATGGATAAATATCTGCAATGCACATGGAACAGGACAGTCAGCATCTGCCTTTTGTACTGCGCACCATTGGGACTTCAAATTAAACCTGTGACCACCTCACTGCATTCTGATTTCATATAAGAACATGTCCCCTTTTCTACACACAGTGATGACTGAGAAGACATAGACACAGATTATGGCTGGACAGGCTGGGCAGAACTACAGCATTTGCCCCACATACTCAGAGTTGTGTCCTGCATCCACACCTGGGGTCTTGGCCAGTGCTTTTGGTGCATGCATCTTCCTCATTCCTGCCACTGGGAACCTTCCTTACAAATAAAGTGTTTATGTGAGCGTCATCTGTTGTGGCTTAGCAGGAAGAGCAAGTCCAAAGGCAGAAATGGCAGCTTCCTTCTTTCCTCCCGTGTTCCTCAGCCGTGGAGGCACCGGTATTGTCAGACACAACCCTGATTTGGGGCTGCCAAGGATGTGATAGTGTCACTAAAGTCACCAGCACCAACAAGTGGAGATACAGGAGGATATTGAGAAGAAACACTGGTTTGGAAAGGGTGCTATTAGTGAATATCATTAGCTAACAACATTGATGAAGCGCTTACCCCTATGAGGGGATGTGCCAAAAGGTGAGTAATAAAACACTAGCAGTGCTCAGCCTAAAGCTGTAGTGATGCTACTTTCCCCTTGCAAGTAAAAAATTATTGGAAAACACTTTGACTACAATATAGTATAGTAATTTGTCCCCATGCTCCCATCCCTCTCAGATCTATCATCTCAAGGGTATGATGTGGAGGCCAACTGAGTTCCTGGGAATGAAACCTGCTCGGACGTCCCTTTCCAGGCCAGTTTCTTTGCTGACTGCAGCCAGGCTGCCTGTGCTCACGGTCCCTCCCAGGAGAAGCACACCAGAAGCCAGCCAGAGTGAGTCATCATTCATTCAATGAGTTCAACCAGGAGAAGGAGAAAACATGACGAGCCGGCTCGTCACCCCTCTCACTGCTCACAGGTGCTTCCTCCACTCGTCCTTGAGCATATGGTTCAGAACCAGTCTGCAAAGGAAGAAAAGGTTGACAAAGGGAAGAGGAAAATATGAATTGCACTAAAATCCTTAAGATTTCACAACATGCAGGAAAACAGAATGAAGTGGGAAAGAGGGGAAAAGGCAGGGAGCATGGAAATTTGGGGAGGCCAGCCAGACTTCTAACACCAGAGAAGTCAGAGGGACTTTTGCCATGACCACTGGCAGAGGAAGGATTGTGACAGGTGAGCATGTTACATCTGTGCAAAGGGCTGTCCTGATTAGGACCTCTGGAATATTATTGCCCTGAAGGTGATTAATGCCTGTTCAGAAGAGATTCTGAGCCAGCTTGGCTTGTGTAGCTGGGCCTCCAGATTGATGTGAACCAAAGCCAAAAGTTATTGCCAGTGCATTGCCACTCAAAATGATTCTTGTTCTGCTGTTATGAAATCTGCCTTGGATGTGTTTTCTGTTTTTTTTCCTTTAAAGAATTTTAATATTTATTTCACTTCAGTTTCACTCAGATCAAGAACAGGAAATAAATAATATAGAGATAAAAGCTTCTGTTTATTTCCTGTTTTTGTTTGCATAGGTATCCTACACGTACATTAGAAAAATGAATCTGGACACGATATACTGTAGTTGCTAATTAAAGGAATTTCTAAAATTAGTTGAATATTTAACAGACCAGTGTAATAGGTGGAAATATTTTACTAGTTCCAGTGTTTTCAGATCCCTTTGGCAGAGAATGAAGACCACTTTGTGATAGTATCAGAAATCCTATTAAAAATAAAATACATAAAAATTGGTGATTTGTTAGCTAAGGAATGCCTTATGTCTTCATCATTAAAACCATAGTCTAACTTGCAATATACAGGATTTTTTCCCTCTATATTCCTAGATATGCACATACATCATTGTGCATTCTTAAAATTAAAACAGCTATACTGCCAGCCTTCTTTGTGCAGAGTTTCACCTTACTTTGGGAACTGTAGCATGATCTCAGGTGAACTACTTGATGTAAACATGCTACTCAATAGAGGGAAAATGACAAAATAGTGTCCTCTGAATTTTAACATGTCCTAAAATTGTCCTAAACCAGAAAGTTACCAAAACAGTGATGCTAACAGACATATCCAGCAAAAAACATTGAAGCAGGGATGCTTGTGAGGAACTGAAGCATGGGATGGATTATTTTCCTAAGCATTTTTGTAAGTACTTACTATTAAAGTTTGCCACAAGAATTAGTAAGAACTAATGGTATGTTAAGTATAAATTGGCTATTGGGCTTCATTCTGGTCACTACCTATTTAACTGCCATGACACCAACAAACAAGACAGTATGAAGACACGAAAAAAGTAGCTCCCTATTTCTTTATTCATATCTAATTAGAGTTCACCGTGCCATTTTTAGACCCAGATCCTAAACTGGAATAGCCCTATTTATGAAATGCTATCTGAGAAAGTGCTTTAATATTTGAAATGTGGGCTAATCTTTGACTTAGATTCATATTTTCAAAGCATGGCACTCATTGCTACTCACTACAGTATACAGGACTCAAAGGATATTTTTGGGCAAGGATCTTGCAGGAGAATATAATTTTTGCTTGCTAACTTTATAATGTACTTTAATGAGAGCACAAGCATGGTGAAAAATGTGGGAGAAATAGCTGCCTACTTGAGAGTGGAAGTTCATTTTCAGCAATGCCAATTAGAAGGGTTGTTTCCCAGACTTATGCAAAAGTATGGTAAAGAATTTGGCCCAGGGGACCAGATCTTCAGCTGAAAGGCCGGTAGCTAATTGAGTCCCGAATATAGAAGATCTTCATGTCACACCTGCGAAGTGCTGATTGCAAACCTTTCAATCTGATTATAAAAGTCAGGTTTCAGCAGTAAATACATGGTTAGACTTTCTGAGTTATATGGGATTCAGGGCTCTCTTAATCTCGGTAGATGTAGGAGCGTAGGTGGTTTATGAGTCTTCTGTGATGCTGAAAATTTTGCCTTTATTTTTGGAAGGGCAGTCAGAGTGCCTGCACCAGCCAAGAGTAATTTTGAAACTGGTTGTGCAATTTTGTGCACCGAGCCCTCAGCAGTGTGTGTAAGCAGGCATGGGACAACCCTCCTCACTTCTCACTCTGTAAATGAATAGGACTGGCAAGAAGTTTAAAACAAAATTCCTGCATTTTTATTCCTTTTTTTTTACTTAAACCATCACTGGTACCTTGTAATTTCTCTTCCTGTGCAATATAGGCTTCCTTTAGCACTTCCACTTGCTATTCTAACTAGCTACTATACAGAAATTTACATTAAATCAAGATTAATTTTGAAGCAAAGTACTATCTATGGGCTTAAAATTATGCAGCTTGTTTCATAGGATTTGGACTTAACACGTTAGAAAAAAAGGCACAATGCAATGACTTAGACTGGCAAGGTGACTGCATTACCTTGTTAACCAACACTGCTGGTACTGCATTTCAAACAAAACAATCTTTGTCTGCATCACTGCCAAACTGTATTTCATAATGTGTTAACTCCTTCATATTTTGCTGTGATGACATCTTCCTGTGTCAGCAAAACCATGTTGGAGCTCCAACAGATTCCCACTGGGTTTGGCTGGATGAAGCATTTGCTCCCTGCAGCTCTCTGGACTCAGCAAGCTGCTGGTCTGCAATACCTCGATGCGCCTTTCCAAGAGCTATTGTTTTCCATCACACCCAGCCAGGAGAGAAGTAAGCCCAAAACTGATAATACGGACATTCCTTGGCTTTTAGACTTGTGTTTTCACACCTGTGACACTTTAGAGTTTGTGTTCTGAGTCGTCCAGTGACTGAGGTACACTCTCTTCTTGTAAGACAAGAAAC